TTTTGTATTCCAAGCTCTTAGCACAGTGCTTTGCACATGGTACAACTTTCAGTAAATGCTTCATTCATTCATTCATTCATTGGATTGGAATAACAAAGCATCATTTTAGGAAAAAAACAGATTCCATCTACTATCTCTATGAAAAAGGTATAATAATCCTCCAAAACAAAGGAATAGAGAGGGAAAAGAAAGGTAAATTACAAAATAAAGTCAGTAGAAAATGAATTTTGAGGAGTAGTAGTTAGCATTTATATAATACTTTAAAACTTCAAAGTACTTAACTGATGAATATTTTCAGAATTGGAGGCCTGAAATGGTGTTCCAACTATATGTGCTTTAAAAAAAAAAAAAGACATGCTTTTAACAAATAATTGTTCAAAAGGATAAGAAATGACATATGCTTCAGAGAAATACACTTTAGGAGCTAGAGTCAGCACTGGACCAAAAAAACAAAATAAAACAAAACAAAACCCGTCTTCTAGATTGCTTTTTTATTCAGTGATAAAACAACTATTTAAATCCATCACATTTTTCTAACCTGTAGTTCTGCTCCCCAGCCACTGTAAAGTTGGAGAGGGCAGCCCTCTGCAGGCTGATGTTATTTAGGCAGACTATGCTGCATGTGTGGGAGGAGAACTTAAGGCAGACAAAGAACAGTTCTCCATGTAAATACATGCTCTAGATTCCTGAAGGTAATGTGGTGACTGCCTCTATCAGGTAAGGAATGGGTTTGCCTGAGGAATGGATGATCTTTCCTAACGGTCAATGACATCATTTGCCTGTGTCTATCTAAGACTCTATGAGATTCATAGAAAAAAAATGCCACTTTCAATTGACTCATAATTCTGGCTTCAAGATCAACAGTTCAACCAGAGTCCATTCAGGGTCAGCTATAGATAAAATTGTGAAGTAGGTAAAATTGGTCTTCTGTGTCCTCTCATTTCCCATTTCAGCACATCTCTCATCCCTTTCAGAATTTCCCCATAATCTACACTTTCAGGGCTGCCTATTGCAATGCCCTAGCCACGTCTGTACTCTAAACAATGTCATTACTCTGGAAGATTTTTCTCTCTATCCTTTGCTCTCAGATTTTCTTTTGACAAGGAAAATAATACAAATTCACACTTATTTAGTCCTTTAAGATTTACACACACACACACACACACACACACACACACACACACACTTTAGGAAACTGTTAAGTTCTTTGACGGATTCTAATTTTCCCTGAAACAAAGACCCATCTTTTTTATATCAATATTCATTAGTCACTGTTTTACAACCATGAGTCATAGAATATTAGAGTCTCTGAATTGAAATTGAGTCACCCAAACGGCAATGGAGAGACATATGATTAGCTGAATAGGTTGTAAGGAATTATGAAGGAAAAAAGGACATAAAGGATATCAAGGAAATATATGAGCCAAAAAATAGGAGCTGGTTAAATGGTAAGAACAAATGATACCTGATAGAAGGCTTGTACTTCCAAAGCTATTCTCATGATGTCAAGCAAAATCAAGGAAAGCCCTTAATATGTTGGGTAGACTCCCAAAGCAAATTCATGGAAAGGAATGGACTACTGGTGTCATACAGGATGGACATGCAATACCTTCATAGGTATTGCAAACTGCATTGTTGGAGCATATATCTGTATTGATGAGATAATAATAATAATAACTAGCATTTTTGTAGCTCTTTAATGAGATCGATGAGCCAATAAGGTTAACAAAGTACATCCCTCACAATAACTTTGGAACCCAGAAAGACTTGAGTTCAAATCCTGCCTCAGTCACTTACTAGCTATATTGGAAACAAACAAAAAGAGCCTTTTTTAGTTAAGTTGGGGATAAAAGAAAGATTATTCAAGGTAGATAAGATGCTAATAATGAATGCTAGAGAGAACTACTCAGTTCTTCCATTTACTTCAGCTTTTTTCTGATAATGACAATGCATAGCACTTTTTGTTTGCAAAACATCTAAACTCTTTTGTGTAGGGAAAATATTATTTTGGATTGGCTCTGATTTAACAAGTTGTAGATGTGTGTAGTTGTGTAAATGTAATACAGAAACACTTGACTAGAGCCATGGAAAACATCATCCAAGGCAAAGAAAGTCACAGAGAAAGTGATGTTAGTGCTTAGAATTCAGTGTTCCTGACTCAGGGTTTCCTATAATCTGATTTGAAATTTGACCCTATAGTTAGCGTCACTATTATCCAATATTTGTCTTAAACTTTTTATATTGGCAAGATCCCTCAAGACCACGTATGTTAGAAATTAATTTTATTTTAGTTGGGTTACCTTTGAAGTAATGTTGGTATTATTGTTGTCCAGTTGTTTTTCAGTCATGTCTGACTCTTCCTGACCCCCTTCGGGGTTTTCTTGGCAAAGATAATGGAAGGATTTGCCATTTCCTTCTCCAGCTTATTTTACAGATAAGGAAACTGAGGCAAACAGGGTTAAATGACTTGCTCAGGGTCATACAACTAATAAGTGTCTGAGGCCAGATTTGAACTCAGGAAAATGAGTCTTCTTGACTTCAGCCCAGCACACCCTATCCACTTTGCCACCTAGCTGCCCTTTGTTAGTATTAAACCCCACCTTTTATTAGAAGATGAAACTGATTCAACCTAAGTAATAGGACAAAAGTCATGTCAACCATAACAAACAAACATGTTTGTTATAGTCAAAGGAAACAAACACATCCAAGCCTAAATCTTATAGCAAATTAGGAAAGCAAATATGGCATCCTGACCCAACAAGTCCTCTTTTGTGCCCTAAGCCACCACTTCTGTTAATCTATCTTCTCCCTTTAGATTTCACTGCAGTCCAGATGACTTGTGTCTATATTTTGACCAATAGGTTAGAACAACACTCTAATACTGTCTATTCCTTTAGATCTCGACTTTGTTCTTTTAAGTAAGAAATGCATTCTGACATCATACACCTTCAGGAGGAAGGAATTGCTGAGGATCCCTACAGAAAACACATAGTCCTATTTAAGAATGTAATTAAAACTTAAATTTTCAGCCTCAGAGTGATAGGTGAAATGGCACCTCATTTTGTAGGAAAGCAAACTGAAGCCAAAAGAAAATGTGACATACCTAAGGACACACAGCTAAAAAGTGGAAGGAATAAGAAAAAGGAATATAAAAAGGAATAAGAGAGGGGCAGCTAGGTGGCGCAGGAGATGGAGCTCTGGCCTTAGAGTCAGGAGAATCTGAGTTCAAAAATGGCCTTAGACACTTACTAGCTGTGTGACCATGGACAAGTCACTTAACCGTGATTGCTTCCAAACAAAGGAAGACCACAAATCTTATGACTACAAGTCCAGCACTTCTCCCACTACAAGTTGTACAGTATAAAGTTGGTGACATTTTTGTCCATAGTTTTGACAGAAAGTATTTTGAAAATATCCTAAAATTTACCATAGTCATTGATTCATTCTCATGTCTAGTTGCTTAATAAATGCATATTAAATCAATATGCATTTATGACTTGGTTTAATAGAAAGACCACTGCTCTTAGGGTGAGAAGAACTCAGTTCAAATCCTTTCTCTGCTACTTAATTGCTGTTTGACTTTACATAAATTACTTCAACTCTCAGAACCTCAGTTTACTATTATAAAATAAGGAAGTTCAAAAAGGTAATCTTTCAGGTCCTTTCCATCTCTAATATTCTGGGATTCCATTGTAATGGCGGGACTAACCAATAAGGACCTCATTTTTAGACAGTGGTTCTCAAACTTTTTGGTCTCAGTATTTTTTACACTCTTAAAAGTTATTCAGGAATCCACAGAGCTTTTGTTTATGTTACTTAAAGCTATCAATATTTACCATATTAAAATTAAAACTGATCATTTTAAAATATTGATCTTTATTTTAAAATAAATCAATTACATGCTAATATAAATAACATTTTAATGAAAAAATAACCATATTTTAAAGCATAATTAGCCAGAAAGTGGCATTGTTTTACATATTTTAACAAATCTCTTTCAAATCCAACCTCAGACACTTACTGGCTGTGTGACCACGGATAAGTCACTTAATCTCTGCCTTAGTTTCCTCAACTGTAACCTCTTAAGAATAAAAGTTAAAAACCTTTCAAGTGAAACTCCTGTCTGTCTGGCCATTGCACTAGGGAAAAGGCCTAGAGAAGGGTCTCCCTCTCCAACAAATAAAGGGAAGATTAATACAGCATTGACAGTACCAGAGGGGGGCACTGAATTAGCTTTCTTTTTCCTTCTCCTGCACACAGGGTAAGGGGAAGGAATATATAAATTAGTTAAAATAAATTAAGGGAGGAAGTGATGGAAATACAATTCAATGAGGCAGGTTTTTGAGTTCCCCAGCACCCCCCACACATTCTAGATCAGAACATAGTCAAGACAAAGGATAACTGATTAATTAGGCTGTTATAGGCAGCAAGTATATGCATGTTCAAGAGAGAACAGAAGCACAGGGACAGACTAGACAGTCACCACCTGAGACATGAGAGAGAAGTCTGCTTTCATCTTTCCTTCAATGGCCTCCCCTCCTCTTCCCCCCAAAAAAACATCATAGAGGTAAGGAGTTTGGAAAAGGGGGAAAAAAGAATGGAGGGATAAGCAGAGCACAGAGACAATAATGTTGTGTGTATTGTGTGGAGGGGGTGGGAGAGAGAAGCAACAAGTAGGGAGGTTAAAATGGGAGGGAGAACTCCCATCCTCCATAGGGTGGGGGGCAGGGATAAGAAATGTGCTCCAACATCCAACCTTCCATTGCTAGGCTAGGGTTTGGTCAACAAATGGAATTAGAAAGGGTCTGAAAAAGACGGTGCTGAGAAGGGAATAAGAGGTTAAACAGGGGCACATTGCTGATTGATGCATCCCACCCAAACCTCCCCCTTGAGCCCCAAAGTAGAAAAGAATAGAAAGAAGGGAGAGAAGAAAATTTGGTGCTGAAGGAAGTGGGAGAAGATGGTAAGGGCCTCAAGGGGAAGGAGATTAATTCCTGCTATCACTGTTCATCCACTCCAAAGACATCATTCTTTCTTTGCTTCAAGTCTTCAAAGTTAAAGTCTGTCCCAGTCATGCGCCTGTAAATATCTTTGATATCACTACAGGTTGTCTCAAAGTCAGTGCTGGCATCATAAGAACGAGAACAGAATATCTGACTTTCCAATCCATCGTCTGTTGGCTCATACAAGTCACTGACGGCCACAAACTTTTGATCTATAGGTTCCAACAGCCTCAGAGCTGGCTCGATCTCCTTCTCAGGCTCTACTGTCTCCACTGTGGTGCTGACAATAGCAATGTACTTCCTCTGGGCAGCCACATTAAAGGCATAGGAGATCATGAACACATAGATGTCTGATTTCCTGTTGACCTGATTCTGGGGAATGATGATTTGGCAGGACTTAACATTATCAGTGTTTCTAATGGGGTGGCTGAGGATACAGATGACTCGGATGACCTGGCCAGTCTTTCGAACCCTATCAGGGATATAGCTGGGGTCACAGATCAGCTGCTTGCAATGAGCCACCTTCCCCTCTGACTTCACACCCACCACTTTTCCATTCTCCATGATGATGTCATCCACAGGTTTGTTCAGTATGTATACCCCACCATAGATGGCGCTCAATCTTGCAAATCCCTGAGATAGCTCTCCCAGGCCATAGAGAGGGTACAGGTATGGGCTCTGCCCATACTGGCTAAGGGACCTGCTGTAGAGTTTGATGCGATTGATGGTCTCAAGGCAGAGCTGGTCCAAGTAGTCGTCAGTTTGGTGGAGTGCCAGGACATGGCCAACGAACTCAATAACATCTTGGCCCAAATCAAACTTCTCGTACACATCTCTCATGGTTGTGGTCTGAGGGTCAACACCCTCAAAGCTCTCAGGTTCATCCTCATTAAAGGCTGACACAAACATCAGGAACTTTCTAAACTGGCTTTTTTCAAACATGCTCAAAAGGCTGAAGGACAAGGCCTCAGTCTCGGTGGATGGCACCCTGTAGATCTCATCCCCCTTGTAGACAAAGGTGCCCTCCACCACTTTAAATTCTAGGTAATTGGTCACTTCTGTGTACATCAACATAGTCATCAACTGGCCACTGGCCAGGAGGAATTTGGGGATCAAGTCCACGTTCCAGTCTCGGCCCCTGCCCAGGCTCTCGGGAGGCCCCTCGCTGAGCTCGAAGCGTTTGTACAAGTCTTCCAGGGGCGTAATGGAGGCGCTTTCGCCCCCGTAGTAAGGGTTCCGATCAATGTGCAGCACCTTCTTCCCATTCACAGACATGATGCCGGCGAGAATACACTCCTTGAGGCCTGTGCCCAGCGCGATCACGTCGTACTCCCTCTCCATGGCTGAGCTCGGCTCCGCTCCGCGTTCGGGCTTCGCAGCCGTTGGCGCAGCCGCCCTCGAGACTGAGACGAGTCACAGCCGCTGCCTCCGCCCTCGCTCCGCCTGCTGCCCGGCAGCCACGGGCGCCGCCTCCGCCTTCGAGGCCGCTGTGCCCCTGCAGCCCCGTGCGCTTCCGCTTCCTCTGCTGCTGAAGTCACTCTTGCCATTTCCTGTTTGCTTATTATCATGATGAAAGGCCTTTTAATTGGCTGTGGAGCCAGGACTGAATGTGCATAGGAAAGGCTCAAACAAAACCTCTAACTCCTCCTTGGTGGTGGTTGTTGCTTGTTTGGTCGTGTCCAACTCTTTGTGACCCCATTTTGGGGTTTTCTTGGCAAAGATACTGGAGTGGTTTACCATTTCCTGCTCCAGCTCAATTTATAGATGAGGAAACTGAGGCAGACATAGTTGAGTGACTTGCCCAGGGTCACACAACTAGTAAGTGTCCGAGGCCAGATTTGCGTTCAGGAAGATGTCTTTCTGATTCCAATCCCAGTCTATTCAGGGCACAACCTATATGCCCCTGTAGAGATGTGGGGTGGGGATGGAGGGGAGTTATTTGCCACTAGCACTTCTCCTTGAAGAGTCCCAAAAGGGGATGGACTGAGAACAGAAGTTCTCTGTCTCTGACAGCTCTGCCCTAATACTCATGCCAGGCTGGGCCTTCGTCTATACCAAGGAGAGCTTCCCATACCAATGGGCCTTGGAACCAAAGTTACACTTTTAAGTCCCACTGTTGGGCTTCCCACTAATAATGAGGCAGCCTTGATTGTGTTCAACAGACTTATCCTGTCACAGCTACCATCAGACTGTACTGTGCACTCTAGTTATTGGACCTCTGGCAGCTCTTAGCTTTAGAAGTTCTAAGGGTCATAACTTTGTGTCTAGGAAAGAATAGACACAACAGGGACAGAAGAAACATGGAAGCGATGTGCTTATAGTCACTTGGTGAAGAGGAGTCTAGAGATGTTTATCCTGTGTCCTTCACCCTCTACACAACAACAAGTCTTCATCACTACTGACAGGCCTTGCCACATGTGGGCCTTACTACACTTGTGGGGCTCACTCCTCCACCATGTATGTGGGGGTGGGCTCCTCTACACAAGTGGGACCCCTCAATTTGCTACATAAGTAACATTACTAGAAACCCAGGTCCTTAAGTTTAGATACCTGAGAGTCACTGCTCTCTAGGGACCCAGATAATATGAGTAGGAAGTTCAAGGAGTCATCCCAGAAAAGATGCTGTGCTGTGATACCACTCCAGGTCTCCATGATCTTTTATTTCATTCATCTGTTTATCTATCTATCTATCTATCTATCTATCTATCTATCTATCTATCTATCCATTTGTCTATCTATCATATGTCATCTGTCTTACTTGTTTGTTTTTAAGGCTGGGTCTTCCTATTCTACACAGGCTGGAAACACAATAGCCATCTGTTCCATTTATCCATACTGGAATGGTTTGCCCCATCCTTATGTAGGGCAGTGGCCTTCTTAGTGAGGACACTGAATCGATGTCGGCCCAAAGGAAGCTCAGAACTTCCAAACTCAAGTGATTCACCAGCCTCAGCCTCCTCGACAGAAAGGACTACAGGCATACATCACCACACAATAAGTTTCCATGATCTTTTAAGAATCACCGATAGAGGATCAGCAATCATATCTGCCAGTTCTTTCCATGCCCTGGGATGTATTTCCTTTGAACTGTAACTTGAATTCATCAAGGACAGCTGGATATTCTCTTTATCTGGCTATCAACCCCACTTTTAGCCATATTTGTTTAGTCCTATCTATTCCAAAGATCATTCTTCTTGTGAGAAAAAACAGAAAAAAAAACTTCAAAATCAAATAATTCTATCTTCTCTTTCATCAGTAATCATGGTGTCATTACCCTCCCTGAGTATCAGTGCTAGCTCTTCTGATCCTTTCCCCCCAAATTGCTTAAACCTATTTTTGTCTTTATCTTTCCTTGCCAACTTCAGCTCATTCTGAGCATTCATGAAACTATTCTTAGAGAATTGTACCTTGTTATATTCATCATCTGTTACCTGTTCTTGCTTCCATCTTCTGCCTTTTAAAAAGGTAAGTCAATTAGTAAGTTCCCTAAGTGACATTATTGGTCCCATTTTCCCTCTTCATCAAAATTGTATGTCTCTTTAGAATTTCATCCTTGAGGGTTTCCTGTCACTCTTGATCTGGCATTCCCTGTGGAATTTCGGTCTATGGAATTCTATTTATCTTTCATTTGAGTCCTTTGAAATTTGTTCTCATCAAAGCTAAGGTGCATGTCAGACCAACCACAAATTCCAAGACAGAGTGGTCATTTCCATCTAGGATTCCTCACTAGATATTAGAGCTGAAAATTACTTTAGAGCTTATCTAGTCCAGTTCATACATTTCTGCATAAAATGAAACTCAGAAACTGTGGGAAATGAACTGGGAAAAGAACTATATATGTTTTTGTGCTAATCCTTGAGAGAAAACATTCTTCTAAATCTGTCTCTCTTGGTATTTCATAAATTTAATAAACATGATAAGTGTTTGTTGGATATATGAGGAATTGAATGGAATGAATTGATACTGTTGGTTGTGTGAGAGTGTAATAGACTCTGCTCATTGTCACAGGAAGGGACCACACTCATTCCCATCTCCACCTTTTTTCATATTTTCCCCCTTGCCTAGAATGGTTTCATTTCTCCATTCTCCCTATCCAAATCTTATCCATTGGGCATCCAACTTTTTATGATTTAATTTTTAGATTCTTTTTCTTTTCCTCCTCTTCTCTTCTTTCTTTTCATTTTCCCCTTTTCCAGTCTTCACTTTATTATTATTATTTTTGCTAGCATAGCTGTATAAATTGAATTATCCACATGATGGCAGCCTAAGCACAGAACTGTACTGGATGCACAAGCCCTTTAAACCATGTAGTGATGCTTATATAACTACAAAACAGAAAGAGAAACATCATCAGTAACTTCCAGTACCACCCAGAACCAAACCCTGATAAATCATTGACTTAGCTTCCCTAATAACACAATTCAATCCATATATGCTGTGTGATGATAACGCAGGAAGTTTCCTGTTTTTTCTCATCATATTGCATAATTCCCTGTTTTGAACACAATGTTGAACATTGTCTCTTCATGTTCCTAGGATTAAAATTCTGACTCCTCAAAAACTGTTTTACTTGTATCCACATACCTAGATAGGCTCAGTAATTTCAGTATGAAACTTTACCTTTAGTTGATTCAATGTTTATATTTAAGGTACTTGGTGCTGTTAAGGGTTGAAATGTTTATGAGGAGTCAGATGGTTCATTTTCTTCTGGAAGAGCAAGAAGAAATTAATAAATCTAAGACTCTTGGAGATTTTTCATATTGATATTTTTTAACTCAGTATTTGATCAAAATCTGACCCTAATGATAATCTTTCTCTCTGCTCTCTAAAGTGGAAAATGTGAACTTACACCCTGTAAACTTTTGATTTTAAATATAATTTCCTCAAGGGCAAGACATGTTGTATGCCCATCAAATTGCACAATGCAGAGTACAGAGAAGGTACTTAATAAATGATTGCTGATTGATCTTGGAGTCAGAAGACCTGGATTCAAACTCTAGTTCTGAGACTTACTACCTATGGAACCCTAAAAAATCACTCCCTCATTAGACTAGTTCAGCCAAACTAATACATTTGTTGTTCCTCCTATATGACATTTCACCTCCTACATCCATTCCTTTGCACTTCATCCTTGGAATGATCTCTTTCCTCAATTTTCCCTCTTGGAACCCAAATTCACTTTAAGGCTCAACTTGAGTACAATTGCCTTCAAAAGACCATTCATGATTTCCCCCATTGTTAGTGCCCCCACTTCATCTATTTCTTTCTTGGTAAATGTCTTTTTTTTCTTCCTTCCTTCCTTCCTTCCTTCCTTCCTTCCTTCCTTCCTTCCTTCCTTCCTTCCTT